GCTCCCCCCCCCGGGCGGGAGGGGGTTGACCGACGCGCGCCGCAGCTGGGGAGATCCGCGGGAAGGGCCCGGCGCGCGTCCAGATTCGCCGCCGCGGCCGACGGCTTGCCCCCCCGGCACCCCGGCCTTCCCCCCGCCCTCCCCCCGCGAGGAGGGGAGGGGGGGCTCCGACCGGGGCGCGCGAGAATACACAAAAATTGGGATTTCAGTTTTAAAGTCATATGTAGCTGCTGCTCTAAGAAACATTTGCGGATTCAAACTTGGGTCCTGACAGGTAATATTCTGAAACTCTTAAATTGATCAAGAACTAAAAAAAGTGTGCTTACAATGTTTGGTTGTAGTAACACAATCAAGATACAGCCAGTTCGAAACATGTATTTGAGTGTCCTAATTAGTGCTGTACAAAGCAATGGTATGCTAGGACAAAATCCAGCATTCAACGATTCTTTAAACATACATTTGGGAGGAGGCCAATTTTAAATCTCATTAATTTCTGCTGTCCTACATGTAAATATTTCACTTCTAACTGGCGCCTTTGCACTTCTGTCTTGCACCTCTCCCCCTGTCTACAGTACACCCTTGCAACTGCTCCCTGGCTCATTCCTAGTGAAGACAGAGGTCTCAAACTTCTCTCAGCCAGGTGAACTATCCCAAATAAATTAATACATTTTAATCTGTACATCAAATCCATCAGGATTTGGTCTTTACTACTGAAATGAACTGTGTTGTCCTGGAACAATCAAATGAAAACATTCTTTCAGACATTTTGAAAAATGATTTCATGATTTAATATAAAGCCGCACAGCAAAGTCATATTATTTGACACATACTCTCTTTTATGAGAAATCATTGAGAAGGAAAACACATTTTTTTTATCACAGCCTAGTTGACATTTTTCCAGTGCACCAGGAGAGTTTCTTTCGGACTGGTCAGATTTTCAGGATACTGACAGATTAATCACTGTCATTCACTGATACCTGTCAGTCTGGACATTTCAGAATGCTTCCATTCAGAATGCATTTCAATTCAGAGACATCTGAGGCACTGTTTACTTTTTTGTCTGTTCTAGGCTGCTGCTGTTTTTTGCATATTCATATGTCCAACTCTGAATTTGCAGAAGGATATCCCAATCAAAAAAAAACTTGCCCTGGTGTCTTGAGCCTGCCACGCATTCCTACCAGTTAAATCATGGTAAGCTTAGTCCCACTGACAGCTTTCCTCAAGAACTCATATACATACAGGGAAAAGGAAATAAAAAACGCAGGTTTACAGTTTTGGAAAATGTAACTATAACCTCTGCAAATAACTAAGCCTTTTGAAGAATTGTGACTAGTACAAAAAAAATGTGAATAATACTTTTAATAACATAATGAACACACATACATTTGTATAAATATTTAAATTAACTGGTCATAAAATCACATTTATGACTAATGTCATGTTTATCAATTTATTTGAAAAAGTTGTAAATATTTATTGCATGCACCTTGTTTTTATTTTCTATATTCTTTATTCTATATATTATTTACAGCATAGTTCAGATAAGCATTTTATTTTTTAGTTTAACCACCGTTATTTTAAACTTACCAGATATAGAAACAGATAACAATAATCTGGTTTATTGGTTCAACCAGATTTACTCAGATCAGTAACCTTGATTATGCATAAAATAGCATTTGTATCTGACATTCACAGCTGCCATGACTTCACAGTTCCAAGGATGTTGGGCTTCATGCTGTCCTACAGTCCCTGTGTTAAATAGTTTTATCAATCTTATTCCATGTTGCATTTGTTCTAATTTCTCACCTCAAACATATTTAGGAGTCTTCAACTCCAGGAAACATGTCTGGTAAGTGTTAAAGCTCTCTGAAATGATCACCTGCTTTCCACTAGTGAAAAGAAATGAATTGGCTTAAGTAGATTGATTAAATAGTTAAGAGCACAGATTAGATGAGAACCATTCTGTTTATACGAGTACGTTATGCTAGGACTTCAAGCCACATGTGAAGATTCTACTATATGAAATATTCAAATTTATTTCAATGGTTTAGTGCTCATTATTTTCCAAATAAACATAAACAAATCACCGTGTTTGTCTTGTGTGAACATTAGAAGAGGTCAGTGTGACAGATGCACGGGTATTTCCCTTGCATTTCTGTGTAATCCTCTTCTGATAATAAATACAGATAGACAGAAAGGTCTATCAATCCAGGATTATTTATGCTGAAAACTCCGCATGCTTTAATTTTACTAATGGTAAGGCTTTGGAGCACATTTTAGCAGCTGAAACTCCACAGCTGAATCCAGAAAGTATTACTTTCATTATGGAATTGCAATGCACTTTAATTTTCACTTCAAGTGCTATTTTTCCTAACTGGTTGGTACTATAAAAATAAAAAAAAATAAAAAAGGATGAATGATTTTATCATCTGATGCAATGACACCAGCAATTTGTGGAAATTTGGTAGCGTAGAGGTTACCATCTCTGTCACATCATGTTTAGCAGATTACACTTTATAGATAAATAGACGTACTGCAGCCTGTGATACAGGACACCAACAAACCAAAGCAGTTCCTTTACCTTGTAGATACTTTAATCATTTACTTTTTGATATATTTAGTTTATAGTACATCAACTGCTGCTATTATATTTGGGCAAAGTGAGGGAAATGAAATGACCAGCTACTTTCCGCACATTAAACAAAAAACCCATAATAGTACATGAACTTGAAAAATGTTCCATTTATGATATATTTTCCAGGGAAACCATTATTTCAATTTCTTTTCATAAGGATTTTGTAAATAGCAAACAAAGGATGGTTCCAGCAACAAAAGTCTGAGATTTAGGTGTACTGTATTGGGGGCTGTTCTAGATAAATTGTTCATCACTGATTTAAACTGATGAACTGATTTAAATTTTTAAGATTTTAGCATTTCTTTCTTAAACAGATAAATGAGAAATTGTTTATTCAAAATGAGGGAGCACTTAAAAGCAAGCTGAGAAGGTAATACACATACCTATGGTTCCATATGTTACATCAAACTATGTAGGTTAGGTTATTTTTTAAATCAAGGAAATAAATTATCACTGGTGCTAGAGAACTTGGTAGAAACAAAAACAGAGATACCTTGGGACCAGGGTCAGGAACCACCGACATAGACCAAAGTGATATTAATAAGAGGGAAAACAATATTTTTAAATAAAAACAATCATCTCATCTAAGGTGTACCCTGCCTTACACCTGTTGCTTGCTGGGACAGGATCCTGCTGCCCTTTAAAGTGGTTATAAAATTGATGGACAAGTATTATCTTTCCCTGTAGTAGTCATTGATTATGTGATTACTTTTTAAGTGCATCCTATTACTTTCAAGTCTCATAAATCCTTGAATGGCTAATACTTCCAGCAAGACAGCCTTAATTCTGTTTTTTTTTCTATGCAATGTCAGAACCACAGGTAATTAAAGGCTGTGTAGTGTCCTTACATGTCCAATTAATACTAGTGATTTTAGTAAGATAAAAGCTGTTCGATCATGAGATTGTCTACGGATCATACACACTATTACTTTTTAGGCATTTGTATGCAAGAATATAGAATATGTCCACACCAGACAGTTCGATTGCACAGATTCCAGTGTTGCATGCCACACAAAGGCAACACAACAAATTTAGTTGCAATGAATCATAAATGTGCTTCATCATGTAATTAAATGGGTTGATGAGTAGTAATAGATTTAAAAATGCCTTTGTGGCTGAAATTAAATTGCACACAAATTAAAAAGTCTCCAAAATAGCTCTACCAGACTCATTCAGGTTCAAGGTTGAGCCTTATATACCTTACATCACTTTACGTTCTGAGCTGACAGTGTGACTGGAATTCCCCATGTAGTGATGCAAAGTTAGCCAGGCAACACTGGAGATGAGAAGGGTCGAGCTGGCCACCCTAGTCTTGGTTTGCAAAGTAAAGTGATCTTACCAGTCATCTACGCTGTCAGGTACTGTGGGACCTGCACTGTGAAAAATGATGGATGGTTCCTGTCAGTGATACAGGAAAATGAGCACATCCCTCACCTTCTCACCTCACAGCAGCTGTGAGTGATCAATTTACAAATGAACATGTTAAAAAACTGGAAATAGTCTGTACAATGTTAGTAGAAAGAAAATAAAAGAATGTTGTTTTCTGACTAGCTGACTGGACATACTGTATGCCAGGAATATCACAAAGTGAAACATACTATACTGTATAATTCTCTTCTGCAGCTCAAGATTAATGATGACCAGACATGCCCCCTAGAAGATAACTAAGTATTTTTGTAACCACCCAACTGTTTGGGTTTAATCCTAGAGATTAATCTCCGTAGACACTGCAGACAACCTGGTTTGGCGAGTTTATGATTGCCTTTTATAAGATCCAATTTGGCTAACAGTAGGAGTAAATGCAAATCGTAACACCACTATGTTAGACCAGGTGCACTACCTTTGCCAAAGATATGACTGATAGGTGACACACCCAAGGGATAGAAATGGAAATTATGAAGAAATTTAATTTAAATTGAAAAAAAGTGGTACTTCTTTACTCAAAGTGTTCTGTGGATTTTGAACAAGTTACCCAGTCATCAAGTAATGCAGATACTTTGGCTTCTTTCATGAAGCAGCTGGATTGAGACCTTCAGATCAACGACCAATTAGCAACCAAATGAGTTACAATAGATAAGGCAAACTGGTCTCCTGTCAGCTCTAACCTTATGTAGTTTTCAGAACTGTACTGTCACCACCGCAAAAACACAGAAGACATTACGGTGTTTATGATGTTGTGGGTATTAAGAATCATGAAATAGTATATACAGACCTGGAGAGGTCAGTTCCTTATTTCATACTATTAAAATCATACACATGCAGTGCAGATTAATTTCTTAATTTATCACATCGATGCATTCTATTTCCAATTTCATCACAACATTTCTATGGATTTTTACCACATTAACACTTTTACTAAATAAATTATGGAAACCAGCACTGATGCATATTTTAATAGAAAGCTATAAGCACAACATGACTAACATCAATATTTACTTTCAACATTTATTTCTTATAACCAGGATGAAAGAAAAATATTGTCTGGGATGGCAGCATAAAACGTAATTCCATTCAGTACTCAAATTTCAAAGTACAGAGAAACAGGAAGGCATGTAAGCAATAGCGTAGAGACAGGAACCAATCTTTAACTTCAATATCAATACTGGTAGTGGCAATTTGGCTAATCAAAAGGAATATTTTTAATGGTAGTTTATAAAGCTTTGTAATGGCAGAAATCACTGACACTTAAGCAGTGGTGAGAGAACAGAACAGAGATAACCGAAGAGTTTGACCACTTGCAAGCTGAGCATCGTTACAGCACTATACTGAACATGGCACTGATGCCATGCCTTCGTCCCTGAGTTGTAATGTTGTACCTCACAACTTAGAAGTTGTAAAAGTTACCTTGGCTTTACAGGCAGCTTATTTTGTATTTTTTCTACACATTTTACCACTACTGTTTCCAGCTTTATTTAGAATTCAAAAGTCTTATGGTTCAAAATGTAGTCTTATCTGAAAATTAAGAATTTAGAAGACAATTCAAAAACAGATGTTCTTTATATGTGACCTAAGATTGCGTTTTTCCCCTGCATATGAAGTGAAAAGGTTAAGTCAGGCATCGCTTCACTCCCAGTTAAAATGTATTCTTCTGGCTACATCCACAGAGGAACCACTTTACTTTTGGGACTGGAGAGTGAAAAACATGCAGTAGGCGTTAAAGTTACCTGGACAGGACCAGATTTAACCTGACCTTCCTGTATCTAGTTTCGTGACTGTCTGCATATTAGGTTCACTCAGTGCAAGCAGGGCTCTTAGAAACATGCAGGTGTCAGCGATGCAAAATTTAGACTCAAGAGGGTGCAGAGAAACACCACTGCAGAACTCATACTGGAGAAGAACTCTGCAGTCAAGGCTCTTTACAAAATTTTACAGAGCACAACTAAGTACGTACATATTTGAGCAAATAAAACAGCAGAAAATTCTCTAAGAAAAGTCAGAAAACCAAAGAACCATTCCTATCCATTCTAGAAGTGAGGTTTTAAACTCCGCTTTGGAATTTATGCACTACCCCACACTGTAACTCAAAGTTCATGTGTATACAATCAAGACTACAATACCAATTTACAGTATATTTGTTGAAAACACTGACAGGAGCCAATTGTTCATACTGTTGCAACTTAAACGAGCAGTAAAATCGAAGAATCTCTAGCAGGCAAAAAAGGGTTTAATGGAAACTCTCGGAATAAGGTCACATGAAAAAATCCAGTTTTGTCTTTTTTCACTTCTCTGTGTTCTAAATGCTGTTCCAAATGTAGATCAAAAAATAGCTGAAAAAAATTCAAGTCACTGTCAAAAACTTGCTTAGTTTTCTGCAAGAGTTACCATCCTGGTTTAGCAGAATCCGCTTTTTTGATTTGACTAATAAAGAGTTCCATTCAAGTTCTTTTGAAAGAAAATCTACTTTAAACATTTCAGCTATAGTATATACATCAACTGAAATGTTTTAGCTGAACTATAGAAAGGTTTACATCATTTTAAATTGTTAATTGTGGATCTATGAACTGATATTTATGACTTCTCATTTTAAAAATTGCAATGCAAATGTAAAGAATTGTGTTGAAACCTGAAAATAGCACTGATTTAGAAAACAAAATAACTAACCACCAGCTGTTAATTTTAAATGCTGCTTTGGGACTTCTCAAGAGCAATTCACAGAATTCATTAGATGTAATACCTGCTTACATAACATCTATGTCTGCTTCATTTTTCTAGAATTCACCATAGCTTTGTAAGCTACGTGTATGGACAGTGGTTAACAAATTTTGTTATAATGGACAATTTCTATAAGAAAATCTGACTGAATTATAACAGCATAACACACAGGAGAAAACAAATCCTTAACAAAACATTTCCAAACATTCTTTGAAAACTTCACGTACATCTTTGATCAAACATACCAAGAAAAATATTTTGAACTTAAAATTTTATAATTGTCTTCACCAATATTCTTTAAGTACAATAATTTAACTTTTGAGAAAAAAATTAAAAATTGACATCATTCACACAATTCTTTTTTTAGATTTTTCCACAGATAAACAGGGGTTTTCATCAAAAAAACTTCTTGGCAGCTGCTTCTTGTCGACTTCTGCAAAATAAATATATGCATAAATATGTACAGCTCAGCAGCTTTTGTTTAACCAACCATTTTCATTAGTTAATGATGAAGTATCAAATCTTTTGTCCCCCATCATATAAATTCTATTATTTTCATGAGATAAGAAAAGCTACTGTTCACAATAAGGAAAGGCCTGGCCAGCATATAGGTAAAGTAGTATAACAGGTAAAACTGTTGGAATATATGAATTTTTCAGAGTTTATCCATTATAAATTAAGAGATTTTCACCTGACCCAAAGTGATCTGCCTGTCTGCAGCCACTTGAGAGCACTGCGATTAAGCCCGTTTAGAGGACCAGGGCAGGACTCATTAAGCATCTTTTCAAACTTCCCTGTGTTAGATCACAAGTCGGAACAGCAGAAAAGGTCCCTTTTATGAATACAGGTGAGGCCTCAGCCTCCAGACATTGCTGGTTTGAATCTGGAACAAGTCTTGAGCTATCCATGATCATGTTAGGATCCCCCCAGCTGTAGCCAACAATTAGATGAGTGTAGCAGAGATTTGATATTTTAATGATATTTTATATACAATATTTCTAATTCCCTTTCAATACATAGCCTACCATGGGGTAGGTCTTGTATAGAAATGTGCAGGACATACTCACCTGTACATTATGTAACCAATGAACAAGACCGTCTGAGCCGCAACAAACATGATGAAGTGAGCAGTGGAAAGGCATGATGGGAATGGAGGAATGTCTGGGCATTTAGTCTTTTCACCTGGCCCCTACATACAAAAAGAAATCACTATAGATAAGTACAAAATAATACTTTATTTAGCACAGGGCAATTTTCAAATGCACGAATAAAAGTAAAAGCACAATAAACATATCAAAATTAACATTTGAAAACAAAGGACAGAAACCATAACCAACATAATAAATCAATTTTCATCTGCAAGTTGTGCTTCAGGCACATACATTTTGTCCTTTCCCAGAAATACAGTATCTACAGTACCCATGTTTTTCATAATAACGTGCCTAGATCTGAATATGCACTTACCCCATTACGCTGTATTAAATGGTCAAGGTCTCTTTTCACCAAATGAATGTGCTCCTTAATGTCATTGAAGTGCTGGACAGTCTCATAGGTTCCTGCTGAGTTCCCTTGGTTATGGACAGAGCCCACTTGTCTCATTGTATCCGACAAAGAACCCCTGAAACAAAATCGTACAGCTCTGTAAAAAAATCTCACAAATTTAAAGTGACATTATTCTATAACTTGCATTTTCTTTGTCAAAGATGGAACAATAGTTAAGTGATAGTCAGTTTTGATAACCTACTGTTTCACAGTATACCATGTTATAAAATAAAGACATCTATAGTTCTTATTAACAGATCTGTAATGCAAATTAAAATTGAGTTAGTTAAAATGTCAATTAAAATATTAATTTTGTACATGCAGAACTGAAACAATATTATTCATATCATATTCAACATTGTTTAAACAACATGTTGAGAATATATGCCTTTGCCTTTTCCTTCTCTTCATAAATCCTTAGCATGCCTCAGATAAAACTGTTAGGACAGAGGATCCAATATTTATCAAGATTAAACACGTCACACCAGATACCAGGCAAACTTCCAGTGGTTATCTGAGCCACAACTGTTTCTTACTCAGTTCTTATCAGTATAAAATCAAAATAAAGCAAATGCCATTTCCATCTAAGTATGGTAAGTATGGTAGTTTTTGTATTCATCCACACAGTGAAAATAATTCCAATTCCTGCATATGATTTATGCAAAAATGCTGGAGAAAACCTCTAACTTTCAGAAATGTTTGTCATATCTTTTCTAAGTTGATAAGGAAGACTTTTAGGCATTATTTCTGATCATAACTGAAATTGCTCTGCAACAGAATTACATTATACTGCAGTGGTGTATTTGTAATTTCATCACAATGTAACAGTGCTTGAGAAGCCAGTAGATGCAGGCTCTGAGCATGGATTAATTATTACCTCACCACTTAACAAGCAATATTAAGTCTTAGAAACTGGCATTAGGTCTCGTTGTGGCACTTCAAGTAAACGGACTTGGAATCACTACAGAACTTCCTTATAAAACCTATATTTTAAAGCTTTATGCTACAGCTTGAAGTCTGTGCCTTCCTTAATCTTTTGATCCTTTTCTTCTCTAGCTCTCAAATGGCCATGCTCCTCTTAAAAATCTTACAGTTAAAGTCAGTGCTAGTGACAAGATAAACATGATTGTTAAATTAATCCTTTCTCAAGACACATGCTCCGTCAGTAAATATTTTTTAATTAGTATCTCCTACTTACTTTAAGGTTTCTCCTCTGTTTTAAAGAAGATTAGTGAGACATTTCTCATGTGGCTTTTAATCCCTACCCTACTAATAAAGTAATCACACAATCATGATTTTGATCTTTGAACGATTGTCTCCTGTTAATCTGTCTTGAATCCTGCAGAATATTTCATTTGGGTCTTCTTAACCCTACACGGAAAAATCAGATCTATTAAGTTGGCATTTTGTTCTGATCTTGACATCTGTTAAAATAAAATGAGATGTCTTATGTTTTAATCACAGCTAGACTTTACAAATTAAATATATAAAATACAACAATACTTCAGAATTTCACTTTATCGATTCCTGCAGCAGTCGTTACACTTACATTATACAGCATCTGTTTTCGTCTTGCATATATCAGTATTTCACTGCAATTTTGTTATTTCTACGTAACATTATAAATACACAAATACACTACAGCTCGGAATATGATTCCAGGCATTAAAACTTCAGTCTGATTTTTAACCATTTAGATAGCCTTGTGTTCCTTTAGAAGATACTCGAATATTTGGAAAGAAACCTTAACACATCACTCCTGCTTATTTGTTCCTGTGGGAAAAAACATAATTGTTTTTAATATAGCACCATGAATTGTAAATATACCTTTTAATTATTTTAATCACTCTCAACTTGCCTTCACATTTCCTTTTAAAATCCACACTGTATCCTCCAAAATTACAAAATTACTTCATACTGTAGGTCTCTGCCTGCATTTGCAAACTGCAATTATTGCATTAACATCTAATTTTGAATACAACATAAGTAGACTAGTATTCCTTTTAGTTTTTACTAAAATACACCACCAGTTATGCAAGAAAAAGTTTAAAGCATGCAAGCCTCTTCACTTTAAAAGTTCAGAAAGAATGCAAAAGAATTACCAAATAATTAAAGTAAGAGTAGTGCTGTAAAAGGCATTTGGATTATCCTGTCCTGTTTGTGGTAACTGTTCTGTTAAAATGTGCTGAATTAAGACCCTTTCATTATTACTAGACTTACAGGGGTACTGCAATGCTATTTTTATAATTCGAGTTTAGAAAGAACCAGCACTGATGAATGCATTGGAAACCACAATAAAAGTAAAATGTAAACTGGAGGTTTTACACATTACTGTGTACATCACAAAATAGACAAAGTTTCCAGGTATGCGCAGCACCATATTCTGTGATTCAGAATGAGGCAACAAACCTTCCTGTCATGTGAGGTGGCCATATTATATTATAAACAAGCAGCAGGCCTGTGAATACATATCTTTTAATCCAGTAGAAAAATTGCTCTTGTCTTTTTTGCTGATAAATACTACTTACTTGCTAATTCTGCATGCAGATCATGTTGGAACATTTCTGCAGTGAAATGTCAGCCACGCAACCTTTACTTATTTGCTTATACATCGCATTACATTAGTCATTATGGTGACTAGTGAGCAGGAAGAGCCGCTTTACATCACAATTCGCACAATCTTTCGCTCTCATCCGTGGCAAGACCAAGAGATTGCAACGACATTGGGACCATACGGTACTTAAACAAAGTTCATGATTTTGTGCTTAATTTGAAATTTGTAAATTGTTTGGTACCATCAACAAATGTATTTTGTTACTGAAATTTAACAACCAGTCTAAGAAATTGGGACTGTTGTTCCCCTTTAACAGTTCAGATGAGATGTAAAGGTTGCCTTACTATTGGGGAATGTTAAGTTAAGCAATCATTTATATTTTTCAAGTCACATCAACTGGACGTTGGGAAAAAATGGATCCTCTTTACATGTAGTCAGTTAACTACATTTTAATACTATGCAATTTTTATTTATTTATTTTTCTGTAATTTACATAAAACCCTAAATTAAAAAAAACTATCGTGAAGACTCATTACTGCCAGGTAAACTTGCATGGTGGCCATACAAATCACGTATATCTTAATAAATGAAGATTACTCTCTCCAATTAAATAAAGTAATTTTAGAATTACAAGACAATGATTACAATTCTGTAAAAAGAAAAGAGAAATGGGGAATTCCAAGACATGTAGAAAATGCACGAATCAACTACCACCTTGGAATAAGTTCTTAAAATGAGAGTAAATCAAGCTTCTGGGGAGTTTAAAAAGTGCATTTTCTTTAAAATGTAGCCATGTAAAACATGAACAAGTGCTTGAAGGATAACTTGGATTACTAAAATGAAATTGAAATTATTTAAAAACTTCAACTAGAGTTATTTAAGGAAAGAAAATTGAAAAGACGTGTAAGCATTTTCTCATACAATCAAAGGAATGTTCACTGAGAAAGTCCTTTGGTTAACCAAAGTTACTTTGGCGTATTAAAAAAAAGAAAATCTAATCTTCTTAATAAAAAGCACATCTTAAAATTAAGATCATGTTTCTGATGAAATTACATTTTCTTACGCTGTATTATTGCTGCCAGGAGGAATGTTTTTTTTTTCTCTTTTTCAAAATGTAAGATGATTAGAAATTTTAAGACTACTGACAAAGGAAATTGATTGGAGAAAATAAGTATGTACTCCTCTGGGAATAAAGCATCAAGAAAGCAATCAGATGATGCTCATGTTCTTGTATATAGAATGGATAGAATTTAAAAAGAGGGTGTAATCCTTCAAGTATATTTACAGCACTAAGATGTGACCTTCAGACTTCTGACTCTCACTGCTTTGTGTAAAAAGAAAAACATCCCAAAGCTGGGCAAATGACCAAAACAAAATCTAATCTATTTTCTTAGCAAAAAAACTTAAAGAATATTAGAAATAAAGCTCTCTTAAATAAGCAAGTGAACATTTATTAAATGGTCTAGTCTTTATCTACTGGAAAGGACCTACTTAACATTAAAGAGACAAATCTCAATCACCACAATAAAACCTAAGCTTAGGGAACTGAGATTGAGAAAATCACAAACAAAAGTATGAAAGGACTTTATGTATCATGAACTAGACAAAGAAATGAACTATAATCACAATTCAATATCACAACAATTTAATCGCTTAAGATGCGATTAGTTTGTCAAGCTCAATTTTTATGTGTGCAGTGTACAGTAAATTATCATCCAACAACATTCACAGCTCTCAATTCAACTGTTTTGTTTTGTCAACAAGTGTTGCTGTGAAAATTAATGAGATGTATTATGCAAGTCTCAGAACAAGAGCCTACAGATAACTAACACCAATGCAACATATCTAACATTATGTAGACTAGAACTGAAAAAAAGCAACAAAGCTTCAGCAAAGCTGTCAAATAACATTAAGTTGTTTTTAATAAGCACTACTAAATTAAAATGCACACCCGCCAGAAAAATGCTAGCTTTTTTCATGTCCATTTGTTTAAATCCCTACATGATCCATGTACGTCTAAGAAACTTGTATTTTACAAGACACACCTTTCAGAATAATGTTATATAAATTTTAAGAGCTGTTGTAACAGACTAGGGGAATGTCAATATTAATTAGCTTTAGCAGTTTCACAACAGCAGAGAGCAAACTGTCTGAACAAATCTAATCATGCTTTGCATACATGTACACTGTATGCAAACTTAACATCCACAGACTCCCCAAGTTGATTTTATATGTACAGAGCAATTGGCCAGCCTTGAGTAAAACAAGATCACACAATGTAGGAACAGAAGAAATTTCAACCTTCCTGCACCAATTACAATCAAACATTAATGTACTAAAACATCAATATTTGCTAGTTCAATTTTCAGGATTTCAAGCAAAATTTTCCAGTGTTCACTCTTTCCACATTCGCAGACCAAACTTATCTATTTGTGGGCTGCACAGCAGGAGATCAGTATTTCACTTGACCTGCATCAGTCTCTGTTAACACTACAAAGAGTTAATGTTTACGTAGCAATAGATCATGGATTATGTTTCACTCAGTTTCATTTAGAAAATCCATGTTCCCATCAGTTTTCACAGTCTCATTTCTTATTTATTTTGCAAAAAAGTATAAGAAAAGAAATAAGAGAACTGGACAAATTGCAGGAGTAATACAGTTGGCAGAGAGGGACTAAAGTAAGTACACAATCTAATTTTTTGTCTATTTGTGTGCTGTAATAACATTTATTACAGTCCAGTAACATTGCATTTCCTATAGTAATAAAAACAAGATGCAAAGTCACGAAAAAGTGCTCTACTAGGATTGAAAAAAAAAACTCTAATACTAGGTAATAATAAGAAAAATTCCTTACACTTATATATAGAGGTTTTCTGGATATTCTACTCATAGCACTTTATACAGTTGGTAATGGGGACTCCCATCCACTACCATCAATATGTAGGCCCCACCTGGATGAGGCACTTTGCAGCAGCCAAAGTGCGCCAGTACTCTCACCATACATCAGCTATCAGTAGGAAGGAGAAAAGAGTAATGAATCCAATTGAGATGGGGATTTTAAGGAGGCCATGACTGGTAAAGGCTAAGGGTACATTTGGCCAGGATGCTGGAGTAAGACCCCTACTCTTTTCGAGAAAAACCCTAGCATTTTTAATGACCACAAAGAGTCAGGATCTTGGTTTTACGTCTCATCCGAAGGACAGCCCCCTTTTAAAACAATACTGTAAAAAAAGTTGTTATAAGCTTTTTCTAATATAAAAGCTTTAATATAATCACAGTGATCTAATCTGTTTGCACATGCAACTTGAATTATAGGGGGAAAAACAACACTAAGTTTCCAGTTCATTAGAACTACTTACTACCAATAAATAATAATACTGTTTCTGAAATCATTAAATGTTCTAACAATTTTTTTACAAAAAAAGTATTTTTAAAAAGTGGCATAGGAAAAGCTTATTTTGCAAGCTGTGGAAGAATACCCTATTTTCTTCAAGAGGTATTATAATCCACATTTGTGAATTCATGCATGAATTCATTCGCTGAAACCTCAAGGTACCTAACCCTCTCAAATACCAAGTTTTTCTGATAACAGCATACTACATGGAAAGACTGACAAAAATGGAAAACCTAAAAATTGTAAATAAGTAAAACTGATGATTAAAAACAAATGTATATCCTATAATAATAAAGAGCATATATACAAATAACTAAAGTCTCAGTACTTTAGCAACACTATAAAACCATATCACTATGAAATCCATATTAACTGAAAAGGACAGATGTTACTTGGTTTACATATCTATATAGTCTTAAATTGTACTACCTGCATGCTTTAACATATTTGTTCTTTATTACAATACCATTTGAGCTACAGTACATGTTTATTTCACAATCATGTTAACCAGAGCAAAAAGAACAAACATGTTATTGACAATGGGTTGTAAACAGATGCAAAGTGATGTTACATTTGGTGGAAGAATTGAAAATCTCATATATAATCAGGATTAGCCGAGTCAAAAGCAGCGTTACAAGATTTTAATTTGAGTCCACTGGTAAACACAAAAGCACAACATGTAACCTGTATCTGTTCAATATTTAATCTGTATTAGACCATAACTCATCCGAAATGCTGTTGCTAAGCTATCAAGTGAGATGAAACAATTTCTAGACAGGAGCTAAGGGATGCATCTACATATAGTTACTCAGAATTTACAAGAAGGTCAGTAAATATAAATTTGTCTCCTATAAATTAGAAATTAAAACAGTATATTTAATTTTCTGAAATTAATCTTTCTTTCTTTAAATGAAAAATAATTTTAAATCTTGTATGAACTCTAAATGCAGCTATTAAATGAAATTTTAGCAAAACGTCTGTATAATATACAAGAGATCCAGCATGAATTCAAGAAATACAATTGTTTAGCCCACAGACAATGATTAGTGCACATAATATTTGTAAAATCCCTAACTGAGTACCCTCCTATGAAGAGTTTACATGCAGATATACCTGCATTAGATCTGAAATATCCTTCTTAACACACTTGTTTCTGTTATTATGCATAAAATAAAAGCAGCAGCCAACAGAGTATTGGTGCAGTTATTCATCAGAAGTGAAAAAACTAAAAATAGTAGGAGGAGAAGTTTGTTTTTCTTTACCTGATCTCATTTAGGCTTTTCATCACTTCTTGTTGCGTTGTAACTATTGTGTCAAGTTCTTGAGTGGGAATCTTGAAAGAAAATGGATATGTACAATAGGCATTTAAGTAAAACAAATGATTTAATATTCAAACACATTTGATAAGTGTATAATACCTGCATCACAGTGTCTATCAGATCTTTTCCATATTAAAGAAGAGAATCTCACTCTTCAGGAGGCTATAGTCACTAAAGCTTATGATGTCAAAATGCCTTGCTGTTTTATCAGGAAGCCTCCACCATTTTATTATTTTTTTTATCGCTTTTATCGTGAAAGTTTTATCGCTTTTGCATAAACTAAAAGTAGGACAGAAGAGAAGAACAGGGGAAAAAATAACCCCGTGGGAATACAGTAGGAATCTATAAGGAAGTTAAAAGTTTGTGCATGACAACACATTAACTGTACATACCTGTCCTGGCTGTCCCTGCGCTCCCCTTCGGCTGATCTCGTCAGTGACCACAGACACATATCGCCTCTGCTCATCCAGAATCATGCTTAGCTGACGGTGCAACTGCTTGATCTCCAGATGGATCCTGTTTTGGCCTTCAAACACCTGCCGAATCTCTCTGTCATTCACACTCTCGTACAGGTCCTCTACTGAAAAAACATTGTCATGGCAACGCACGACAATTCTCTTTTTAAAAACTGGCATAGGAAAACAAACTATGCATGAGGTAGCATTGTTCAGTGATGATTAATTTTAAACCAGACAGTTCTGTATACATGTAAAGATCATCTTTTTGAATGTATCTGACATACTTAAAGCAACTTCTGTATGCAATTTGTTGGTCAGTCATTCAATTGGACAATTAAGTATTTGAAATACAAAAAATAAATAAGGATTTATTAATCATTAAGCATACATATAGTATAGTCGCAAGGAAATGCATCCCAATATAAAAATCTGATGAACTGCTCACAATACCATCAAAGTAAGAACAATGAAATTCCACCACTGTGATCTACAGATCAATGCCACATAATCATGTATAAAAACCATACTTTAAATTATAACCATTCATTCTAATAATATAAATTTTACATTGAGCTACAGTTCAATAAGAATTGAACTGGATTAGCAAAATATAAAGGTGCTGGTTGGACCAACATTCTGCAAATGAGCAAAGTAAAAAAGCCACTGTTTAAGTAACATTGGAATAAACAGCAAAGGCAATCCACACAGCAAATCAAAGTACTGACCAGCTTCTCCTTGGACATCTGGATGTTCTTTCTGAAATTCTTCCTTCTTCTTGTCAAGCTCCTGTCGAAAGCTTTCGAACTCCTCTTGATACTTGTCCTTTTCTTCTTTAGGAATTTCAGCTTCTGGAGGAGGCTTAAAGAATTAAATGAAAACATAAAACATTTAACTAACAAGTGCCTTTTAAATGACTGAAAAACTGCAAGTTGGTGCAAATTTCCATTGAGGAGAATTCAAAAGGATATATAACATTCAAAATAATCAGGAGGTTTACTATCTAGATGCAAATCTTGTTTTGAAAGATCACTGCAAAGCAAGATTTCTGAAAAATGCTTGGATATTGATACAAAAACTGTAATTTCGGTAAACTGAGCATTCATTCAACAGCATTCCTCCTCAGTTTTCAATAAGCTCTAATTTTAAGAATTGTATTTTGGGGAACTAAAACCAAATTCAAACTAAATCATTAATCTGAGGGATAATTTTCATTATTTTTTGTTATATACTGTAGATTATAAAGCATTGTTGTTGTAATATCTTATAAGTATTTCTAAACTATAAAAACTAGGGTGCAGAATAGGGTTTCGGCAAGACTTTTGATCTTGATTCTAATTGGTTTAGAATGGTTTTATGGTTCTTATCTTGATTCTACATCAGGTTTCACAAGCAGCATCAATGCTACAACAGTTTCCTACAGTATACCATGCTGTATTGTCCTAAAACAAATTATGTCATTGTTTCTGTCACCCTCATTTTTCTGATTGAGATTTAAAAACAATACCGGTTTTTGTCCTGGTTCTGTTAATCTGAATGTCAAGAAGGACAGCACATCATGATCATCTGCAAAAAAAGAAACAGATTTAAGCTACTGTACAGGCAATAGAAAAATCATTTTGAAAATCAAATGAAAAATTATTCATTTGTCTCAGATTTTATCACTGAATTAACACACCCTGAAGGACAATGAGTCCTTCAATGAGAAACTGGAAACTTACCAGCCAGCCCTCCTGTAGCTGCTGAAATCCCAAAATGCCCTTCCCTTGGGATATGCATATTTTCAATTTTGGCACAGAATTCATAATCATCCTTATCTGGAGTAAAGCCATTGTTTATCATAACCTGAAAAAAAGTTGAAAAAAAATAAATATTGTAAAGTTTAGCATTAAAATACAAGAAGCTGATACTGCTTTTTCTTTCTTGACACTGAAGAGCCCAACTGGATAGAGAAACAGAATAATGCCAAAATACCAGCAGAAAATAACACTTGAGTTTCAAGCAATTCCACTTATTTCCAGTAATTTCAGAGAGGTGTATAGAATGACTGTACAGTTAAGGACTCATTCTCTTAGATTCCGTTTATGTGGTTCTTACCGTCAATGACTTCTGGTAGTATGTGATTTTGGCTCTGACTGGATAGGGCTTGTTTCGGAAGTCTCTCAGGCATGTTCCCAGGGCTTGAGTTGAACCATCACTATAGGATTAAAGTAAAAAAAAAAACAGTACCAAAACAAAAAACAAAAAAAACTAAATGAAACAAAATGTACAATTCTGAACTGACAATGGCATTCTTATTAATCTTGCATGTAAATATATTCTCACTTATAACAGATCTATTTTTGCCATGAGCAAATCAGAAGCACAAATACATTTATAATGTCTACATAAATGAATGTGGCTAAACATTAAAAACATCCTATTAATTTCCCTTCCCTGTAGCATAGACATGGTCCAGTTTCATAAAAGCTAAATCTCTTCCAGCTTTAGTTTAATTTGTTTCTATTCAAACACCAATCTTTTAAACAGTTAAATGAAATGTTTGCTTATACCAGGGTACCGATGGGAATGTCATAAATGTATTTCACCCCATACACTTAGGTGAGTTGCACATGCAAACATTACAGAAGTCAACTAACCCGTTTTCCATCTGTTCAAATTAAGATGCAGAAATAAGGGCTGTAAAACTCAAAACATTTGACTAATGTAGCAAGAGCCTGCACTTCAACTTGAATAATGAGTCTTTGAAAAAGTTCTTCAGGATCAACTAACCTATTCCTTTTTTTTTGTTGTTTTAAATAGCACTTTTCCCCATCAGAAACAAACCCCTTCTGTATATGCCTCATCCACCACTGATGGGAAGCAAGCACCAGCATGGTAGCCCCTTTACGTACCCAATAAGGTACAGAAGTGATAAATTACATTACCAGTTGAATCTGTAACTTGAGAGTAAACTCAATGCCTTCGTTAAATGTTTTTTCTCCCCCACAGTGTACCATAGGATAAATATACCAGGAAATTATGAATAAGGAAGTACCTCAACATTGCAAACAGAGAAATACCATAATATTTCAAGTTTTCTAAAGTCATTATTTTTATAGCAATGCAGTCAACTGAAAGCCTAATAAAAGTAGAGTTTTAATACATGTAAGGGCGAAAGACGTCTATTTAAAATTTAAAACTATGCTAATATGAAATGAAGGCAAAACTTATATACTTACTTCTGATGATCATAAATTAGCTTTCCGTTGTTTCCAACTATAAGAACAGCAGGGTTGTTTTTCTAAAATATAAAAATTAAGATAATACACATTAATTGTAAGACAAAAGGTTAATTTCAAGCCTTGTTTTGTATTTCAGATTTGGGAAGAAAAAACATTTCCAATATACTGCAGGAAAGAAAGTCATTAGAGCATTCAGTGTTCATCCTGCCCCATCACTAGACCACAGCTGCGCTAGCAACTGACAGGAAACACCTGTAATGACTCGGACGCAGTCAACAGTGTGTGACGACCCAATGGCAAGATTGTCAGACTCAGGAGGACCAACTGAAGGACAGCTACTGCATATCCAAATCGATGACAGATAACTGTGAAGGTACCCCTATGACTGTAAAATTTAATATCATGCTAAAATCTGTGTAAGGCCACATCAATGACCAGTGGAAGTAGCTGACAGCATAGTTGTATATGGTAATACCACAGTACAGCACATTCAAGAACACGTTCTGAGGTCTCTTACTGCCATTGCTCCATCAACTGAAATGATTATTCAATGTAATTGAAAATGGTAAAACCTGTTCCCTAAAACAAGGGCTAGTCAAGACATTCTGCTTCACCTTGGCATTAGCAGTTTGCATTCACAAGTTTAACACTGATCCAACTATTCACTGGACTGCAGTCCATCCTATGGGATAAACTGACAAAATCTGCAGGTTTGACAGCATCTTAGGAAAATGAATAAAGTAACAAATTTGTGTGCTTTGCGGACTCTTGTGATTACATTTATACTGCATTGTTTTTAGTGAAGTAGTGAGTGTGAACCTCCTGGGACGTGTACAACACCACTGTTTTTCCCAAGATTTGAGCCTTTTCATAAAGTAAAAAGCTTTCTTTTGTGCTTAAATATTGACAATTATAATAAATTATACTGGAGATGATAGAGTGTTTACTGCTTTTTTACAGGTTTGTAATCAAATTCCATTAGACAGCACCTAATTAGTCTTGTGTGTGTTATTTTCCTTTATGAAACTCATTTTCAAATGAGACCTTTTTCAGTTTCACGAAGATATTACCACTATTCATAAGCTTATCGTATTAACTTTATTTAATGCTTGCTCAATTACTTAACTGTAACAAACAAATCTGACCATTTTACATCTAAACATCTTTTACATTTACCTTATATGAATTCTTTGTTTTATCAATGTAATTCTTAAATTTATATAATTTATTTCAAGTTGCCCTAAGGAATTTATGCATTTCCTATTTTTTTATTTAGCATATTTCTTACTGCACTAACCTTCCCATCATTATCGAAAGAATCAAAGAAAATTCCGAGTCCATTCCATAGGTCAGCTGCTCCAAAGACTGGACCATCAAGCCCTTGCTCTGATGTGTACCAGATTGCCTGTTTGGAAAGAAGCAAGGCAGGAAGAATGTCCATTATACATTTATAGCTTTAAATGCTCAACAATCTTCAGATTAAATGTCAGGGAGTTACTTACAAGCCCATCAGCTCCCAGCCGACCTCTGCCAGACACTCTGAATGTTACTTCCACCTCCCAGTTTTCAAATGCAGCTGTGTTTTTTGTCCACACAGACCCTTTCTGGCTTCTCAGAGATGGGGTGATGCGGATTTGATCTGAGCTTGGGATGGCATCTGAAACATGTTGACCATATTGAATGAATGGTTTATCACAGTACTGACAGTGCATAGAACAATCTACATACCCCACAAAACCCCATGCCAAAAAAGCCAAACATGACAAACAATTTTCACCCCATCTCCAACTGACCCTTTCTTGCAAAGATTCTAGAATACGCTGTTACAATTCAGTTAAATAACAACCTCAAAAAACCTTTTCGAACCCCTCCAATCTGGCTTCCGACAGCTTCAAAGCACATAAATTGCCCTGGTCAAAGTTACTAATGATCTAATAACTTCTGATTCTGGTTCTCTTTCTATCCTTATTCTCTTGATCTCAGTGCTGCTTTCAACACTGAGAACCATGATATCTTACTTTCTCATCCTGAGACTGTGTGGAGTTTCTGACACTGTTCTTAAATAGTTCAAGTCTTAGCTCACTGTCACTTTGTCTCTCTTAGCATATGTAGGTCTGAAATCTTACTCGTTAAGTGTGGTGTTCCTCAGGGCTCGATGCTAGGCTCTCTACTTTTCAATATTTACATGCTTCCACTTGGTTGCTTTTAAGATCAACTCTCACTTCTATGGTGAAGATACCCAAATCTACATCTATACCAGACCCGACACTGATATGGCTGTTTCTATTCTAACTGTATATTTTGCATAAAAATATGGATGACTCAAAATGTCCTTCATCTAAACTGTGACCAGACTGAAGTCATGCTTTTTGGCATCCCCATCAACTTTGTAAAGTCAGTGCTGTAACCCTATCTGTGGAGGGTACTGTACTTGAACATCAGTCTAAATTGAAAAACATGGGTGTGATATTTGATTTGGGCTTGATATTTGACCTAAATGGGCAACATATTGTCAAAACACCATTCTTTCACCTCAGAAATATCACCAGACTATGTCCTATGTATTTGCTAACTGTTGCTGAAAAGCTTATCAATACATTTGTCTTCTACGGAATTGATTACTGTAATGCTCCACTTGCTTTGGTTTTTAAATCCACATTGAACAAACTCAAGTACGTCCAAAATTCAGAAGCCAGAATCCTGAATAGGTCTAGTGCTAGTGATCATATTACTCCTATCCTGGAGTCCTTGCACTGGCTTCCAGTCAGGTTTCGTGTCAACTTCAAAATGCTACAGTAGCTGTCCCCCAAACCCGTCTACACTCTATGGGTGACAGGGCCTTCTCCTGTTATGCCCCAAAGCTCTGGAACTCTTTCACTAAGGATATCAGAGAGACACCTTCCCTAAACTCCTTCAAATCTAGACTCAAACCTTCTTCTTGAGAAAGGCCTTTACTCAACTAGCAGTAGGTTTATTCCATGCTGAAAAGAGAAGAAAGCAAACACAATGTTTCGGCCTCGGAGCCTTCTTCAGGTGAAATGTTGTGTTTTCTTTCTAGTCTTTTCAGCATAGAATAGGCCTATTACTTGTTCCTTTGCAGCCTACACATGCTGATGCAGCTACCCACCTTTAATTAACTAGCTCTGTTATTTACTCCTCTGCTCCTACTGTATTCAGTACCCACACTTACTGTCTCATTGTGTATTTTCATTGTGCATATCTTGTGGATTTTTTATTGTTGTCATTCTGTAAAGCACTTTGAGAAGCCACCTTTAAAGGTGCTATATAAAATAAAAAGATTTGTAACAAATAAGTACAATTTTATATTTAAGTATTTTAATGGACTGTTTTTCTTCAGTAAATTGTGTATGACCTTCAGTTTGTGCTACAGACAAACAAAATCGACTCTACTACAGGATATTAGAAATAAGAGTTTTATTATTTAGAAATTAAAGGTAGTAAAAATCCTTGTTTGGCAAAGAAAGTATGAAAAAGATCATTTCAGGCTGTCACTTCACCCAAGCACCATGATATTTTACCTGAGGAAGAAATACTTGTCACAGAGCAGATAAAGTGAACCTACATGGACTTTGACACTGTGCAGCCACACAATACTTTAAAGTAATGAACATGGATATTGAATAAAAATGTAAACATAACAGAAATGCAAGAGCACTGACTCAACTAAAAGAAACAATGTAAAGGATAAATGTGCTGAAGTCATACCTCTTGCATACAGACTAATTTTTTTTAATTTTGGTTTTAAAACTGACTGGTTTCCTTCTCTTCACCAGAGCTCTGTGCTGCTGCACAGCACAAAACAGCTTTTCCCCCAAATGTTTTAGGCAGAAAGCCATACCAGCCTTAATGTTGTAGACAGCTGCGAACTGAAATAAAGTACTTTCTACTGGAGTGGCTGCAGATAAATCCTAATATCTCAGGTTAATCTAAGAAAAGACCTCAGACACTCCATTACAGAAGTAAGTTTACATAGAAAAATTGGCAATGTTTTCTGCCATATATTTTAATAGAGTTACTTTTATCTAAGTGAAGTTCTGGAGAGTCCCAATCCAAACAGAGCTGAACAAAACAAATAGTTTATCGTTAAGCACTACTGTAACTCATGCAAATCGAGAAAAAATAACTGCAGCGCTAATTCACGGTAACAATAATACCATTACCATGCAAAGAAACACAAGTAGTGATTAATTCTACACTGAGAAGTTGAAAGAGCAAAGCACACAACGTCTCGGCTGGCAATGTAGCCTTTTTCAAGTTTATGTATATTATGATCGCCATTACGGTTTCAGATTTCATCATCAAGAGAAATGCACATGTACTGCATGCAGAGGAAATTGAACACAAATTGCATTTAATGATTTCCAATACGTTTCAGCACGGATTTTTCCAATGACAGCAGATTGCACAGTGCGCAAACAAAAAGCCAACAAGCTGTGTTATTTGTATACCTGCAATCTTTATGACGGGAAAATTGTGTTTATTATTCTGACTATATTCTGCCTATATATTAATACAGAAAAGCTATTGCTCGTGTAGTATGAATACTGCAAAAAAACTTACTTCCAGTGTGCACCCAAAAAGGAATAGTACCGTCGCTCTGCGCAAGATGAGGTCCTTTGAAACTGTATTTGTATTCAAACCGGCGATGTGGCGAGTCCTGGGAGCTCTGAACAACGTCCGCAGAAACCAGGTGAAATATTAAAGTTAATATTAATAACCTAGTTGCTACAATCAAGCACTTTTCTATGGACACCGCCATCTTTCAGTCCCACTGCTGACGTAGCGCAGACTGTAGGGGATGTCGGGAATTCCAGCACAGCCAACAGGGCGCTTTCTCATTGGACTATAGCTCGATGGTGACGTACACACTAGTCGGGGTTTGGTGCGCTGTGGTAGGTAGGGGGAGAGTTCAGTTGAGTCGTGTACTGTATATATTATTTTACTATTGCCACACCATAAAAAGCTCAGTTAATAATTTGGAATCTAAAGATGTGTTGCTTGTTGTTTGTATGGTAACTTCTTGATTGATCCATCTCGTAAGAATTATATAGCAAGTTTGAATAACAATACACGTTTTTAGATAAACTGACATAAAAAAGGTTTATGATTGCTAATTTGGTTACATTTGGTAATAAATCTATAAATTCCTAATGGCAAATAAGGATGACATAAAACTGTGTGATGACAAAAAACTACAACTTTACCCCAAATCTCAGCCATTGCCTCTGTATTTAAGGTTTGACTAATACCTAACTTTATCACATCTGTCCTAAACAGTTGCAGCCATAGCTATAGTCCAAAAACATAAGGTGCTGTGTGTGGTGGGGATTGTACTGAGTTGCCTTCGAACAGCCTTAATTGAGTCCTTGCAGGGCTGAGCTACTGTATGCTCATTATTGTACATACAATAATAAGCAGAAAGACATGCAGCTAGTAGAGAATGGATGCTATCATCAAGAAAGCCAGGCTAGTTGAACCGTTTTATATTGTATATGAAGTTTTAAATCTTCCTGACAGAAGAATAGAGTTAGTCCTGTATTTTATATTAATCATTACTTTTGCAAACATGAAGTCATCAAGTCAGTATATGGGCAGGAAAATACATTCAGATAAAAAGACAGGAGAGCAGCTAGGACATACAGTAGTGTATATTCTACATCTCTTAGCCCAACATTGTCAAGTTCATTTATTTAAAGTAATAAAATCAAGTAAAAACAACTCTCCCTCTTGTGTCATACACACCCACTGTCTGCATCCAGAAGAGATAGAATGTGGTATTCCAGCCTGTTGTACTCCAATTCACTTGAAGCATGCACCACATCTGGCAGACCCAAGCAGATTTGGATTTTGAGTTTAAAACACATATACTTTTCAAATGCATTTCTCTGCTAATTCTCTTTTAACAATACCAGTAAATAACATTGTTTTTAAGTACTCCAACGTGCAGTATGTATACAGGAAAAGCAAGTGGCATCTTGTTTTGTGCACCATTGATCTATGTTGTACACGGCAGTGATTATTGAGGCATTTTATTGTATTGACCTCTGCTATTATTAATTGAACAATAACTGATTGGCAAATTCCACATTTAGACACAACTAAATTAATAGACTTCTAAAACAATTAGATACTTTTTTTGTATTGTGGTAATTTTAAGGAGGAATCTCAAAATTAATATTTTACTCACTTTCTGTAAAAAGTTAACTGCTTTTGTATGCAGACTGGAAAAGAGGAAACAGGAGATTTTGCAAAAAGAAAGAAAGTATTTTAAACACTGAAAAAATTAACTTTAATAGAGTTTTGATGTTATGCCTAACAGGATTGTTGTGAATGACAGTTTTTGACTTTTGAGGGATTTGTAGTAGATCAATTCACCATGTTTATTATCTCCCTTGTCGATTATTGTTTTTTTTCTTGTTCAAAGTTTCTCAGGGTATTAATTTTGTTTTGAATGCAGCAGTTCCCTATACATGTTTTGTAGTTGATGGACTTTGATGTACTTAATTTTTTTCAATAAAGATCATCTAAAATCTGTAGTTCATATACTGCGGTATAATAATACAATTAATTTGCTTGCATTTGTATAGTGCTAAAGGGTCCTAATCTGGTTTACACAAAAGAAGGCACCCACTTTACATATCACGCAAGAGCAGCACCCACCTAGGTGACAGACAAGAGCCCCACTGCTCAGCACGTTAGATTGAAAAGCAAGAACTGATTGAAATGAGAGGGTTATTGAGGGAGGCCAGTTTGTGTAAGTGCAGAGTTGGACTCATTTTATAAGCCATGAGATAGGATCTCTTGCAGTTAGTAAGGAACTTGGTTTAAATTCTCTTCATACGAGTGGTGCCTCCTACAGCACAGCATATTGGGTCATTAATGTAGACATTCTGCTCTACAGAAACTGTACTGGTCCATCAACACCACTATCAGCAACTGTGAGTGTTATGTGTATAGTGTCGTACTGTATGTATTAAGGTTTTCCTTTCAGGTCTCCTGCCCCAGTATAAATTGAAATATTGAATAATTTAAATATAAAAGTCAATTGGTAATATTAGTACTTTACAGAAAGTATTTCATTATACTAATTAACGTCTCTAAGTAAATTATAGTGCAAAATTATAATTATATTATTATAATGCAAAAAAGCTGGTATACACCTTGAATGACAGGAACAAATAGATATGTATTTAAATTGACAATTTCTTTTGAGATACTACCCTTCAAAGTTCTTAATAGCATAAAAAACTACTGTACTTTTCATGGTTTCATAATTGTAGTTCTTTTTCCTTGAGAAGTGCAACGTCTTTCAGGATTGGGGTGGAGCAGTGGCTCTGTGGCTAAGGATCTGCACCTGTGGCTAGAAGGTTGCAGGTTCAAATCCTGCAGCTGGCAGAGGAATCCTACTCCACTGGGCTCCTGAGCACAGCCCTTAACCCCAGGGGTGCTGTACAATGGCAGACCCTGTGCTCTGACCCCAGGCTCTCTCCCTGTCTGTGTGTCTCTTGGAGAGCAAGCTGGGGAATGTGCAAAGATAATTCCTAATCCAAGACATTGTAAAGGGTTAATAAAGTGATATTATTATTGAGCATGTGTTCTCTTTCATGGCACAAAATATGGAAATATGGATACAAAGTTCGGATTCAGATTCAGATTATCAGAAGTAAGAAAGCTTATTATTAATAGGTGATATGCTCATGCCCATGAGTACAATATTAAATTACTTTTAATCGGATTTTAGGCTGTATGTATTAAAGCAAATTATACTGGGCTGTTTTTGCCTGTGAATCATTTTGTTGTTGTTTTTTTGTGATCCCCCTTAGAAATAACAATAGCACGTGTCTGTGTTATACATCTAATGTAGTTTCTAGTTTTATGGAGATAAATTTTAGTAGATGTACAGTACAAAGAAAACGCAGCCTAAAATTAAGAGCATCATTAAGCATTCCTGGTGATGAGAGCTCTGCATCGTTTTTTTTGCATTCAGGCCATACAAGTGCAAGTTTTGGAATCTATGACTCTTCCTGTTTCGTTAACAGACTGACCTGGGCATTAACACTCCCCTCTGCTAGAGGTTGCCTTGGAAACAAAGCTTCCTGCGTGTAATCCCAGATTATCCAGCTCTTTATCCTACATGTGACCCCTTAATTGCTTGCTAAATTAGATTTTTTTTATGAAATCACAAGAGGAGGTTAATATGTTCGTGCAGAGGTGGTCAAGCTAAAATGACAGAGCAATGAATGGGGTTCAGGTTACATGATCCCTAAAGGCGTCTCATTCAGAGGGAAGCCCCAGTCCCCCAGTGGGTGGTGGAGTTTTGCAACAATACCTCTGTCACTCACTTTCGTCTTCCTGCATTTGACAGTTGCCAATGTGTAATGAAGTCTAACTGTACTGAGGCATCTTAAAAGGATTGTAAGCTATAGTATTATCTCTTAATAAGTGTGCATTTTTATTAAATACAGGTAACTTTTCTACCGAGAACACGAAGGCATGGGTCTATAATCAGAAAATACTTACAGTTCTACCACATTGCATTTTCACTTACTGTACCTGTACCCTTTTACAAGGGGGGAAAAATATAGTTTGTTCAGAGTCCAGTGCCAAGCAAGAATCTGGTCCTGCTATACAACAAGTAGAGCTACACTGGAAAGTTAAAAGAAGAAGTAAAACCCATAAATTTGGGTTTCAAGCAATAAGGTTTCACTGAAGTCTTTCATAGTTACAATGAAAGGCTCTGTAGGTGATGTGAGGCTATATAACTGAAGGCTAATTTTCGCTGGTATTTTGTTCTATATTCTATAAATTTCTTTAATGCGTTTAAACCTAAGACTCTAGACAGAGAATAAAATCTTGATTAGAACAAAATTTTCTGACTTTATTTTAAATGTTGTCCCAGGAAACAAACCGTTGTCAGTACAATTGGTATTGATTTATGTCATGTTTGTTTACCATTAGTTTTTTTAAGTATGAAGGATGATGTTATCATCCAATTTATTATGCAGACATTATTCAAGAAGCATGAAGTTTGGTTTCAGATATCTTAAGACATATAAAACCTGTTGTTTGACTGTACAAGAATATTCTACCAGTTTGTATTTTCCTGCATATTAAATACAAATAACAGTTTTAATGCTTTCATGGTTACTGAAAATGTACTATACTCCAGATAGCATTTCTGTTTTAATTTATACTGTACCAATACACAATAAAAATGCAAAAGTCTAAGTTCTAGACATACATTATCTATATATTTTATCTCTAGTTTGAGCAGTTAACACTGTAGATTTTTTGATTGTTTGACTAGTAGAATTAGATTAGTAGAAGTAGAATTATTCCTTGAGATACCAAAGTTCTGAGTTCATGGCATGTGGCTCATAAAAACACCAGTGGATCAGAGTTTGACTTTTGAGTTGAACCAAAATGAGATGATTAAAATCTCTGTTGTAAATTAACATTCTTGCATTGGGCAGTTAATTCATGAAAAGGGCCCAAATGACATACAGTAGACAGTCAATTTTATGCTACTTTTAGAATATAACTTCAATTTATTCCAGCATACCTTCATTTCGTGTCATAGTTTTGTATTATGTGTATTGTTTTGTGTTATTAGAAATAACTGTCCTGAGCACTATTTGTATTTTGTGAAGTACTGTGCATCTACTTTAGTTTGTTCTTTTCAATTAAAATTTATTTAACTCGGCAATAGCACATAAGCACGATATTGTTCAATCTGAAGTCACTGTAAAAGAGGAATCTTGTTTCTGTATTCTGTCTTGCTAATAGCTGTGGCATA